ATTATACTATAATATATATATATATATATATATATATATATATATATATACAGAGTGTCTGGAAACTCGCCAGCACTACTTCTTGAAGTGATTCGGGACCCAAAAAAAAGGAAAAAAGGTATATAAATATAGGTCCAGAAATAAGTTGTTTCCGAGTTATGGCCACTTTTATGTTAAAAATATCGTAATTTATTTTAAATAATCATAATCATAATAATCATAATTATAATATTTTATAGTTTTTTTAAAAAACAATGAATCTTATACACTTATTTTTGTTAAAAATTACTTTCTATTGTGATACACTAAGAAAATAATATAAAAGTAGAACAGAATAAAATTATAAATTATAAATTAGTGATTCATGTATTGTGTATATGTATGTATATATATGTACCGATATGTTTCATCATTATATTACCTTATAACAATTGAATGATTTAATATTAATCGCACTGTTTCTCAAAATTTTTCATCTCCATATCTTCGTTCCTTTTAGTATCCGAACATTTCGTAAAAATGCGGATTACTTCTTTGCGAAAATTCTCTCCAGTTGCATAATACAGAACAAAGTTTATCCCGTAATTTGTAAGATATAAAATATAGCTGATCCAATGAACCAAAATTATAGAAAAATGTTTATCTTTATCCAACTGCAAATATAATTATTATTATTATAAATTATTATTAAAAAATCATAAACAATAATACCGTTCTTATATCCATTGAATTAAACATTAGAAAATATAAAAAGAAATATTGCTTGTTGGATAAAGTTAATTAATAGCATTAATATTACGTAAAATGTGTTTTTAAAGAAACTGTATCTAATAGTTGGCTTTTCTTCAATAATATTTGTTAATACTATAATATATGTCATGTTAATAATTTATGTCAATAATATATGTTAATACGTGCGTCATAGGGAAGAAGAACGGAGCAGACATGTATAGGTACATTTAAACATATGAATATGCTTGAAATAATAACAAGCATTTTTGTGACCTTAATGTGTGACGTTTCATTGTTAGAACATCTAGTATTCTCACTGAAAGCAACGGAAGTTAAAATCAAGTTTCTTCGGATACGATTCTGCTTGTAAATTATATAAACTATCATAATATTGAACATTACTATCATTGTTACGGGTAGGATCATTATTATAATAGCATGGATGACGATTAAAATCCTCTAGCAGTCCATTAAATTTATTTTCTCAATATTTGCATCAAAATATTACTTCTCTGTACTTTTTATAATATAATAATACCATGAGAATATAAAACTGCTAATCCCATCAGTCCAATCATCACGATTTTCGCACGGTTGACTGTGCACAAGGAGCAACAAAGTAGCGACCACTTGATCGCTATATACCGTTGAACAGTAAAGGCCACTACAATCCATATACTTAGGAAACAAAATGACCATCGTAAACCAAACAAAAGAATGCGCAACCAATTTTCATAATTTATAATATTCCTCCATTCGAACCATATCATGAATATAGTCATCAACACAGCAATGTCGCTCATCGCAAGTGAACACAAGTAGATGCTGGATGAATAGTAACGTAACTTTGTGTAAAAGAACATATACACGGATAGACTATTGCCCAGCAGACAGAGAAACAAGAAAATCGGTATGTAATATTGTTCGATCTGCTTAATTACGTTGAATGTTGGATTATTTTCGTCGTTCATTCTCGCGTATTGATTTTGAATTGTTAGCAGCACTTGTTAACGAGGAAAAAAGCAGAAAGTGTTTGAACGTAGAGTGAATAAGACCTTGTGTCATAAACAATGTCAAACAGTTTTGTGTTAATATAAACTGCAGTTTGATTATAAACCGGTTGATATAAACCGGTTGATATAAACCGGTTTGATTGAAAAATTGTCAGCGCGTTTTATGGAAGTAATATAAAGTCGATACCGCCGTATGATTGGAAAACTGGCTACAGCTCCGTGTTTTGTTTTTTAAAATTTTACATAATATAAGTGCAATATGGTAAAATATGTACTGCTGTGTTATATACCATGATTTTAAGTTGATACTGGGAGCTTTTCATTTAGGAGACACAGATCGACACTGTGTGACACGGTCAAACGCCGTGCTTAGATACTTGATGGAATGCGTTTAGTTCTGAACTAGACCGTTAAAGTCTGCTTATGTCTTCCCATGATATATCATGGCGTTTGACCGTGTCATACAGTGTTGATCTATGTCTCTTAAATAGAAAGCTCCCATTGTGGTCTCGTGAAAAGCAGTAAGTGACGCATATTATAGGTTTGTTCTTTATTGCTGAACTTTCTAGTTTAGCGTTACTTGTTTAATATATAATACAAATTTTATGCACAATTTTTCTAATACAAGATTAAATTAAACACTACAAGTTTACAGTAAACATTAAAAATTTTTAAACATTATTTTTATTATTAAAATAACAAAAATGACATAATTTTAATAATGTGATATTGCTCTTAATATAAAGTGTAATAATTTTAATAATATATAATAAAAGTAATAATTTTGATAATAAGATATTTTAAATTAAAAAAATTTGAAAAATATAACGATAAAACTGTTAAATTCGTTACTTGTTACCGAAAAATGTAACGAAGTTACTTTTTTCGTTACAAGTAACACGTTATTTCCCAACCCTGTATAAGCATACATTTTATGCATATATAATTATTGAAAATTTTTATATTTAAAAACTATTGAATTTTAATATGAATTTAATTTAATAAGAATATAATAAAAATTTTCATGTAATTCTCAATTCTGAAAATTTTTACTCGTAAAAAAATGTTTTACAATTGAAATACATTGCAATTGTAATATGCATATCGTAAATGCAATCAATGTATCATGCATGGAGAGAATGTTCATTTCAGAATACACTAAAAAAAAAATCGATGATAAAATGAACTATAATTGCACGGTAAAAAAATTATAGTCGGAATAATAATTTTTATAGTAAATTCTACTATAATACTAGTAAAGTCTACTATAATACTAGTTATATAACCCTATACGCATGGTTCCGAGAAATAATGAAACTTTTTACTATAAATTTTAGTGAAATTATGGTTATTTCAACTATTTTTTTTTTCAGTGTACGTTTGCGACTTTTGCTGCGAGACGGCAGATAACATGTCACCGAAACAAACCAACCGAAAAGAAAGCGGGATACCGAAATAAATATGAAATTGATGTCAAGGGCGTCCGCAGGATTTTTTTCAGGGAGGAGGCAATTTTCCTCTCGCTGGACGGAGTATACTTCTCGTACAGCGCGTTGAAAAGCATGCGACGCCTAGCGACCGAATTACCGAGGGTTTTCATAAATAAATATATAATTTAAGGGAGAGCTTGGTATAATGGGGTCGAAAAAATCAATTTTTAAACTTGTTTCAAGATAAGAAACACAAATTTGTGAAAAAACTTGCTTTTCCAGGGGGGGGGCGGAAATAGCCGGAGTTTGTCCCCCTCCCTCCCCGTACCGGACGCTCTTGATCGATGATACTGATGAAACTGACCGGTCTATAGGCGGGATCGAGGCAGTGTTGCGATATGGGACCGGTTGTATGCGCATGTGCGGCAATACGGCGTCAGTACAGTGTCTCATACAAGTTAAACAAGGCACCGCGTTACCCGGCTACATTAAAAAT